ACTACTCTGTATTTACTTACTTCATTCCTCAATTGTAGTCATTTTGATGAGATGAAAAAAAATCTACTACTCACTACTGTGATGTGCAGCGGTCCATCTCAGGTGCAGACAACTTCACAGCTCTTTATTGTGACAAAGCCTAACACATGAAATAATAGACAAAAAAAATTCAGATTCTTTGATATTTAAGTCTTTATTGGACCTTAAAACTAAATGTAAATGTAAATAATAATAATAATAATAATAATAATAATTTTTACCATTTTATAAATAAAAAATGTATCATATTTAATACGTTAGGCCTTCATGGCCATTTTATAGAACCCAAACGTGTTTATTTTTATTTATTGTTTATTGAGTGAATCCTCTATATCCTCTGAATCAGTCAAATATAGATTATTGTTATTTTGTGTGTGAAAATTGAAGAGACAGGACAGTTACGACCAAATAAACCATTAAACCTTTCATTTATAAACAAGTCATGTAAAGATATAAATTCCACCATTATCCAATACTACTACTACTACTACTACTACTACTACTACTACTACTACTACTACTACTACTACTACTACTACTACTACTGCTACTACTACTAAAATTGTGTGGTGTTAAATTTGCATGGAATTACATGAACTATGCAGATTGCATTATAAAATACAATATAATGATTAATGACGAACAGAATCACAAAGACCTTCTGTATCAAATGTGATACATACAGTTTTACCACGATTTTTCTACAAAATGAAAATAATAATATGAAGACTTCATAGATTAATCTAAGAAAGTCAATGTTCATGTTGAAGAATCACTAACAATATTTAGGCAATTCTTTCACTAACCTTTTCAAAATTGACAAAGTTGTTCCTCCAAAAACAAAGAAAGTCATGTTCACCAATGCGGCCATTTTGAAACTTTTACTGAAAACTATGGAAAGTCCACAAAGGGGCAGCTGACAGTATTTAATTGTATACAATAGGTTTTTCAGGAAAAGTATTGATTATGTGTGTGGGGCAGAGGTCTCAGAATGTTGTGTATCAAATATGATACAAATGACTTTATAGAGTTAGATGAATATTGCAATTGAAAATGTTCAAATTACAAAGGTGGAATGTAACAAAGTAAAAGTAAGGGACTGCACTTATGTAAAATTTTTAGGCATCTGTACTTTACTTAAGTACATTTTACAGTACTGTTTCACTTTTACTTCACCACATCTGACAGCAGGTATCTGTACTTTTTACTCCACTACATTTTTTAACTGGAGTGAAAACTAAAAGTATTTTTCATTATTGTTTGAGATCTGCTGAAGGCTGAGAGTTTATTTTTAATACATTCATAGTTTGAGCAAACACAAATATACAAACACATTTGAAGCCTTATAAGACCTCAAAATCTGCACCAAATATATTTTTACTCTTTTTACTTTACATTCACTTCATTTTTTAATTAGGTACTTGAACTGTGGCTCAATAAAGTTTGTCTAAGTTTATACATTCATTTGATTTTTATCTTGATTTTTTACTACTCCAAATACTTGTACTTTTACGTGAGTATTTTTCTGCTCCATTATCTGTACTTTTACTTAAGTAACAAACTTGAATACCATATTTTTTGGACTATAAGTCGCTCCGGAGTATAAGTCTCACCAGCCAAAAAATGCGTAATGAAGAAAAAAAAAACCCATAAATTGTCACATTTTTCTATAGCACTTTTCCACCTTCAAGGCACTCAAAGCAATTTACAACAAGGAACCACTCACCCATTCACACACCAGTGTACACAAGGTGGGTTAAGTGTCTTGCCCAAGGACACAATGGCAGCATTCATCTGTGGGAGCTGGAATCACACCAGCCAACCTGTGGGTCAGTGGATCTGACCGCTCAACCTGTGATGTTTAGGTCGAGAGCAGGATTTGAACCGCCAACCTTCAGATCAGTGGGAGAATGCTCTACCAACTGAACTACTGCCACACATAATCAGTTCTTCAGATAACTACAGGATAAACAACAGAACATAAGTTTACCAAACTCTCCATCTCACTCCAAATCACTAAATAAATTGAATCCATTGAATTCTTCATCCTTGGTGTCACTTCTGAGCAACTCCACGCAACTTTGGTTGTCACTGAAGTCCAGGCTTTGGCGATCCACCCAGTGACTTCAAGGAAAGTTACATGGTGCATCCTCCCAGTTGCCGTGAAGCTGTGTTCTCCATTCCCGCTTTTCTCCAGGCCATCAAGTTTCTTGAGGGACTTTCTTTCTGCTGCATGATTGTTGTTTTCTGCTGCATATTTCACTGCTTGCAGCAAGACAAGGAGACATACGCAGAAAACTAATACACAAGCCTAGAGCGCCCTCTCGTGGCTGTCAGGCTGACAATTTTAATATATAAGTCGCACTGGAGTATAAATTGCAGGAAACACTCAAACCATGAAAAAAGTGTGACTTATAGTCTGAAAAATACAGTACTAATTCCCTGTCTGTGAAATGATAACACAGTGATCCACGGGTGTCAAGACCTACAGAATATGAACTACATTTGGACATAATCTGACAGCATGTTACATGTAGAATTATTCCAGCCACTAAATAAAAAGCTGGAGTGCAGCAGTGTTATGTGCTCCCTGTGTGCTGTAAATGTGCAGATGATCCAGACTCCACCTTTCAAGTGCTCTTCACAACCATTTACACTCTCCTGATATCTGAGAGTTTTACACAATTATGCTAAAATCAATAAAGACTGTCACAGAGAACATGTTAAAGACTTTTATACACTAGGGAACGCTTCACTATCAGGAGGACACTTAAACCACGGAATTCAACTGGAATATATATACCACACATGTCAAACTCAGGCCTGAGGGCCAAATTTGACCCACAATATAATTATATTTGGCCCGAAAGATCATTTCAAATCTGTATTAGAGCTGGACCGCCACTACAGACTATAGAGACATGATTTATTAAAATGTCGTTATTATTTTATATTCTGCTTGTTCTGGATTCAATGCAAAACTATTATTAAACATTTATTTTAATAAGAAAAGGTTTAACATTACAGATCTCAAAAGAAGAGAAAACATGCAGATGTTGAAATTTTTCAGTAAATATTTATTTTGGCCCACGACTTAGTCCCACTTTTTAATTTTTGGCGCTCTGTGAATGTGAGTTTGACTCCCCTGATATACACCATATACACCACCCGCCTCACTCACATGTACACCACCCGCCTCACTCACATGTACAGCACCCACCTCACCCGCATATACACCACCCGCCTCACCCACATATACACCACCCGCCTCACCCACATATACACCACCCACCTCACCCACATATACACCACCCGCCTCACCCACATATACACCACCCGCCTCACCCACATATACACCACCCACCTCACCCGCATATACACCACCCGCCTCACCCAAATATACACCACACACCTCACTCACATGTACACCACCCGCCTCACTCACATGTACACCACCCGCCTCACTCACATGTACACCACCCACCTCACTCAAATATACACCACACACCTCACTCACATGTACACCACCCACCTCACTCGCATATACACCACCCGCCTCACTCACATGTACACCACCCGCCTCACTCACATGTACACCACCCACCTCACTCAAATATACACCACACACCTCACTCACATGTACACCACCCACCTCACTCAAATATACACCACACACCTCACTCACATGTACACCACCCACCTCACTCGCATATACACCACCCACCTCACTCACATATACACCACCCGCCTCACTCACATGTACACCACCCGCCTCACTCACATGTACACCACCCACCTCACTCAAATATACACCACACACCTCACTCACGTATACACCATCTGCCTCACCCACACATACACCACCTGTATCACCCGCACATACACCACCCACCTCACCGACACATACACCACCTGCCTCACCCGCATATACACCACCCGCCTCACCCGCATATACACCACCCGCCTCACCCGCATATACACCACCCGCCTCACCCGCATATACACCACCCACCTCACCCGCATATACACCACCCACCTGTCCTCTGGGGTGAGATACAGGAGCCGCTGTTCCTGCACCACCAGAGTCACTAACAGCTTCATCCACCAGGCTGTTAGGATGCTGAACTCTCTCCCCTCTCTAACCACCAGGCGACCAGGAAGCAGGAATCTGTGTCTCCCCAAAGAAGAACACTTTTTCTTTTATTATTATTTATTTATTTATACATTTGGGAGTGAGAAACAAAATTTCAATTCTTCATATGTTTCCTTCTGAAAGCGACATAGTGTATCTTTAAAAATCTATTTATTGCCCTTAATTTAACCAGCCTCACTGTAAATCCTTTTTTCTCCTTTTCCCCTGGAGTCAGACCCAGTTGTTTCTTGAGGTGTGAGTGTTGTGCCACTGTGCCGCCCTTTGCCCTCTTTACTTCTTTACTGTGTGATTCCAGGCAAATCACCTTCTCTATGGGGACAAGCAGGTGGCAAAAGTTACACAGTGCACCTTTAAGTAGACATTCTATTTGGCAGCGCATATGGCAATTTAAGACAAACTTTCTCTTGCTCTGAGTCCCCAGTCCCGTATCAGTGAGCTGCATTGTTCATCCCAACCTGAAGCCCACAATACTTAGAACAATAGCTGCTTTTCTGAGCTCCACGCGCCATTGTAGCCGAGTTCCCATCTGCTGTTTTACTCCAACATCACCAAATGAAGGCGCTGAATGGGGCCATATTGCTTGTACCCTTCTTTGGAAATCTTTCGCGGAGCGTCCATGTGTTTCCTTTGTGTGTGTGTATAGAAAGTGAGTCAGCCTTAGGGGCTTCGGTGACACCTGCCTCAGTTTAAATGCTGTTTTGAGCGCGGTGCCAGGCTTACAGGTGCAGCCCACAATCCATTCCGCAGAACACAATGCAAATCCCCCACCCGCAGGGACATCACAGGCTTTCCAATTGCGTGTGTGCAGGTGAAGAGTATCCAGGATGCGATTCGAGATAAGAAGGCGCGCTTTAACTTCATGGGGGAGGAGGTGAGCCTGTGTCCCTCTGTGGGCATCTTCATCACCATGAACCCTGGGTACGCCGGGAGGACGGAGCTGCCAGAGAACCTCAAAGCTCTTTTCAGGTGAGGAAGAGGGGAGGGGGGTGTTTGTTCATTCTCCTGCTGCTCACAAAATATAAAACAAAAATAGAGATGGTTATTGATGCTTTACAGTGACAACATGCTGGGGGTGTTGTACATGTATCTCAATGGAGGCTTGTTCTGTAGTTACTTAGTTATTTAGTTTGAAAAAACACAAAATGGATTTAAACAGCACATTTTCAGGAGCCTGTCATTAAAGACTTCACGATCAATTTAGGAGTTTGATTTTTAACAAAAAAGTAAGAGTGACTACTGTATTATTCAGACTATAAGGTGCACTTAAAGGGCCCATCTCATGTAAAATAACTCTTTTCACATTGTATCTTCTGCACATAAACAAGCACTATTTGAGTTTTGGAACATCCATTACACAATAGTTCTGAAATCTTACTGATTTCTTGGAGACAGTCACAGACCAGTAACTATGAAAGGTCGACTATTGCTCCTCCCCCCGCCCGTGCTGAGAAAGCACAGGCTCCGCCCTCCAAACATGACGTAGGCGACGAGTGAGCCGCCCTTCCTCCACCCATCTCAGGGAGGGAGGGGGAGACAGACGTGCACCCTGATAGTGGTAGGAATAAACTTTTATTCATCATGGAGATACAGCGCGTTCAGCCACATGTGTTGGACCCGGAATCGAACGAGGACTTTGAGGAGCACAAAGCTCAAGCATCAACTGAACATTAGTGATTGGTAAAGTCTTAATAAACACTAGTAGATAAACGTGTTATATCAGTGTAGAACAATGAGCTTATGCTGTCGCTTTTATTTAGGTGTTCATGTGGGAATTGTCAGACAATGTCAGTTGGAGGCGGGGCGGAGGTGGTGGAGTGGGTGTGAAGCACTTTCTGCTACGTCACATTATAGGTGTAGCTGCTGCGTCATCGTTGTAGCAGCTTTAGTTCTTTGTCACGTGGGAGGGTGGCAGAAATACACTGCAATTTGTAAAAAAAAAACCACAGAATCAATCTAAAAAACACTTCAGCGACAAATACAAGGCCCACACATCACTCTTAGAAGGTAGAAAGCTCTGAAAAGTTGATTTCACATGAGATGGGCCATTTAAAATCCTTTAATTTTCTAAAAAATCGACAGTGCGCCTTATAATCCGGTGCACCTTATGTATTCATTCTGGTTGTGTTTACAGTCCTCGAACCGATTTTATGTGGTACACGGTGCTCAGAAATCTGTCAAAATGTTTTAGCATGAGTTTGGTAAACTCATATGAAATAGAGGTCTTGCGGGATAGAATTTTCGGTCCCACTCCCACCCTCACTCGCATTTTTCCCATCCACGCTCGCAAAGAATTGTAATTTTCATTCCCATCTGTGATATTTTGTCCCGCTCCCGCCCACAAATCCCGCAAGATGGCAATGTTCTCTTTCTTAAGCTCTAGCAAACACGGAGAAGCGGAAAGGAATTGTTTACAATGTGCGCCACATTAGACCATGTCCGCAAGTTTAGTCTGCTTAAAATGTTTTTATAAATGCCAAATAAAATAAAATATCCAGCACAGATTATGTATGATAGGCAAACATGAATCAATTGTATATTTTACTTTATACTCATATTGAGTTTGCGGGATTACAGTTTATCATCCCACCCGCCTGTTCCCACGTTGTGCAGTCCCGCAATGAGCTTTCAAAATGTTTCCTGTGCTGCACTGTTTTGTGTCGAGTCCCACTACTGGAGTCAGGAGCTTCGCAGAGTAATACACATTCACCAAGACAAGGAGGCCACGCCGGGCGAGTCACAATGGATCATGGACGCCTGGGCCAAAGTGTCGTCTGTTTGTTTTATTTAATGCACTTTGTAATCCAGTGCACCTTATATATGAAAAAAGACGAGAGAATTCGACATTACTGATACTGCGCTTTATAATCCAGTGTGTCTTATAGTCAGAAAAATACGGTAATTGAAAAAAGGGGCTCACCTTTTCTTTATGGTCAGATTGTGTTAAAATAAAACTCAGATTAAAGGGATAGTTTGGGATTTTTGACATAAATCTGTATGTCACCCCCGTGAGCAGTGTCGTGCATCCACACTGACTTACCCCCAACAGCGTCCAGTGAGCCGAGATACTGGACGTTTTCGGTGCTGATGAAAGTAGTCCAGCAAGTTGGCTGGGGACAGTATAATAAATCGTTTTTCTTCTCAAAACAATCTGTGTTCAAAAGAGTGATACATTTGCATCACAAAACCATCGTCGAATAAGTCAGACCTCATAATCTCATTTTCTTTCCGTTCGTATCACTGCACGCTGCTGCCAGGTGACAGCCGCACACGGATCGATCACTTTGTTCAGTTGTTTGTCAGTGTTTACATGCGCAGACCGCCATGACGTGAGAGAGCTAATATGAGAGCTAGAGACATAAGTATATAAGCTTGTATAAGATACATAAGAATATATCTAAAAAATGGTGCGAACTCTTGATTATCCAGGCTGTAACAACAAAAATCTGGCTGAATCTCCACACACATTTCACCATTTTCCTGTCACGGACTTTGCTCTGAGGAAACTTTGGCTTCTTGCCTTAGGCTTCAACGTGGAAACCAAACCAGGTAAGAACGAAGAAGTGCCGCTACGTTTACAAGAGGACAGGCTCAAGAATCAGCTGTAACTCAGTGTGCAGTAAATCACTCAGTGTCATATCACCAGTGAAGCTTCTACAAAACCTAACTTTATAAGTCGACTGTTATTACTATTGTAAATGTCTTGTACACTGTTGGCAGCAGCTACGTGGACGTGTGGATGATTCCATGTTTCTATTAGTCGTCCGTGCTTCATTCACAGTGTACGTAGGCTCTGTGTTCACTGTATACGAGTTTATAAATGACGTGATGGTGATTGTCGCTCACTCGGTCTCTCACAGCTCCAGCTTCAACTTGCACCACTTCTCTGTCTCTCTTCTCTCTTTCTCTGCTCGTTCTAACTCCATCTGGCGAATTTCGGCATCAGTATATTTGGGTTCATAAAGATTTCCCCTTGGTTTTGTGGTAAAGGCAAAGTCTTTATCGTCGGTGTCGTAATCAGACATGTTGTCGCTAACATTCCGAGCAGTAAACAAAGTGAACCAGGCACAGCTGTCACCTGGCGGCAGCGCGCAGTGATACGAACAGAAAGAAAATAGTGCCAAGTGATTATGAGGTCTGACTTTTTATTCGACGATGGTTTTGTGATGCACATGTATCACTCTTTTGAACACAGATTGTTTTGAGAAGAAAAACACTTTATTATACAGTCCACAGCCAACTTGCCGGACTACTTTTGTTAGCACCGAAAATGGCCAGTATCTCGGTTCACCGGACGCTGTCGGGGGTAAGTCAGTGTGGATGCACGACACTGCTCACGGGGATGACATACATTTATGTCAAAAATCCCAAACTATCCCTTTAAAGTCTAAGAGAACTTCAGTCAGAGAAGTGCCTCCAGTTAGTATCACACCCTCAGAGAATATTGGTGACATCAGCTGCAAAGTATCAATAGTGGAGTTTTTTTTACTTCTCTGGATGGTGCATATTCATTTGTCCCCAGGCCTGTCACGATAAGTTTCTGAAGTGTGATATGTTGCTGAAGTAAATATCGACAAAAGAGCAAACAAACCATAAAGCACAATTATCCCCCAAAAAGCTATTCTAAATCTTTAATATTGTTCAGATAAGATGAGCTACAATAAATAAATAGCAAAATGCAACACTAAAGTTATTATTTTGTATTTATAATGAGTCATAGAAGTTCATAATTCACCCTTCTGCCTCTCTAATCCTCACGATGCAGGAAAAAAACAAAACTAAATATTTCCCACTAGAGCAAAGAAAAAGTACAAACCATAAAGTGTGTTTTTAAACTTCACACACCTTCACTAGAATTATTTGGATGATTTCAGACCTGGAGTTTCTGATTTCTACTGAACTAAAGGTAAAAGGAACTGTTCACTTGAAATGTACTGCTTCATGACATCACAATGTGGAACAGAGCATTTTGATCTTTGGGGACATAGACAGACAAATGATAAAGGATTACTCAGACATGTGTGAATGAAACAAAACACAACTGTGGGTATGTGTGATACAATATTCTAACATGGCTAAAAGCTCACAAGAGTCATTTTACTGTAATATATGAGCTTTAAAGTTTGAAATACTAAAGCTTCAGTTATTTGATTATAGGCAGTATCAGGTTAGTTGCCTCACAAATCTGGACTGATATGTCTGGATTTTTTATTCAGAGGGATATCAGTCTGGTCCCCACCTGTCCACCATGACTCAAGTCCAGCCAAATGTAATCATACAATCAGATTTATTTATTTCAGTGATGCATGTGCAACCAAGAGCTCTGTGGTTATGTATTATTTATGAACAAAATGATCCTCTCACCTCCTTGAACGGTCTTATTGTGTCCACCTGTCAGTCATGCCCATCTGAACATGGGGAGTTTCAGCAGTGACCAGACTCATACCTTTGTGACGTATTGCTGAAGTGTGTATTCTTAATCCCATGTATTAGAATAGTTATTAGACTTGTGCTGTGCTTTTTCCTCCAATTTTCTATTTAATACATGCTTCATAATCCATTCATGAAGTGGGATATTGTGGCGTTAGATTTGGTAAAGCTGGTCTTCCTCACAGACCCTGTGCCATGGTGGTGCCAGACTTCGAGCTCATCTGTGAGATCATGCTGGTGGCAGAGGGTTTCCTGAGTGCCCGAGTGCTTGCCCGAAAATTCATCACCCTGTACACCCTGTGTAAAGAACTACTGTCCAAACAGGTACACACACACACACACACGCACACACAAACCCTGTGTAAGTAAGTAAGTAAGTCTTTATTTATATAGCACTTTTCACAGACATTTTTTGTCCCCAAAGACGCTTTACAGAGCATTATTCAGCATTATTCATTCACTCTATACCTGGTGATGGTAAACTACTATTGTAGCCACAGCTGCCCTGGGGCACACTGACAGAAGCGCGGTTGCCATGCCACTCGGCGCCATCAGTCCCTCCGACCACCACCATCACTCACACACACACACACACACACACACCACTTTCATACTGTAATGTGGGTGAAGTGTCTTGCCTAGGGACACACAATGATTGAATTGATTGTATTTAACTGACCTTGACTATCAACTGTTCTGGAGACCTGGAGCAGGTTTGGGTAGAATGTAAAGAACTACTGTCCAAACAGGTACACACACACACACACACACACACACACAAAGACACACACACACAAACACACATAAACCCTGTGTGAAGAACTACTGTCCAAAGGTACACACACAAAGGCACACACAAACAGGTACACACAAAGGTACAGTAATTATAATTAAGGATTACTCAGACGAGTAAATGAAACAAAACACAACTCCAGGTGCCAATAGGAGGTGCCAATAATCTGACATGGCTAACATCTCACTATGTCTGTGAAAAGCTCTTTATAAATAAAAAAAATTACTAGAGTCAATTTTGTGTAATACAGGACCTTTACTCCACCCATCGAATAAAACTTGTACTTGTTAATGAGAGCCTTCTTCCTCTGAACATTCTACTCAATCCATTTGAAGTCTTTTCCTCTTGTACGTGTCATTACAGGATTTTAATTATTGAAAGCTGTCATCATTTCAGCGCTGACTGAAATGACCGCCGCGCTCTGAGGTGTGGGGGATTTTACGAGCTCTTAGTTGTGGATAAATTTCCCATGACCACAGGCCCATTTACGTGTCATAACACTGCTCTCACTCTTTATGGCTGTTTTATGGCTCTTCCTCACCAACTCTCCACTTACTCTTCTTCCAGCTCTTCAACACATGAATCTCATTGAAGATCTTTATTAGAGAGAGAAATGACATGCATAAATTACCTCGGAGGTGCATTCACAGGGCTGTAACTGCGCTCACACAGTTTGCAAATGTGTTTTAATTCTGTGTCCCTTTGCAACATGAGCCAAATTACTACAAGTGTTTTTTTCAGAGCACCTAAAATAAAACAATTAGTAGCTCGCCCATCTAGCAGGCAAAGCTGTGTGATGTGTGAGCTCGTCCTTTCCCAGTACACACACTGCTTTGTGTCTTAATATACTCACAGAATTACCTGTGTGTGATGCAGTACACTCATTCTACTGCAGGGTACAAGCCGTGTGTCGTTCATTCATTTGTCTTTCAAAATAAAACCAAAAATAAGAAAATAAAATAAAATAAAAACAATTCTTCATTATTTGTCTCTAAAACAAAACAAAAAAAAACAAAAAACAAAACATGGATAGCGATTTTTTCAGTTTTCGATTTTGTGTTTAAATGAAAAATGGAAAAAAAAGGATAACAGCCGTTTCCTGTTTACGTTACTTAAAACTGTGATGCCAGATTTTTGCGCCACATACGGACTAAACCAGATCTAAACCAGGACTAAACCAGGACTAAACCAGATCTAAACCAGGACTAAACCAGGACTAAACCAGGTCTAAACCAGGACTAAATCAGATCTAAACCAGGACTAAATCAGATCTAAACCAGGACTAAACCAGGACTAAACCAGGTCCAAACCAGGACTAAATCAGATCTAAACCAGGACTAAACCAGGTCTAAACCAGGACTAAAACAGGGCTAAACCAGATCTAAACCAGGACTAAACCAGGACTAAACCAGGTCTAAACCAGGACTAAACCAGATCTAAACCAGGACTAAACCAGGACTAAATCAGATCTAAACCAGGACTAAACCAGGTCTAAACCAGGACTAAAACAGGGCTAAACCAGGACTAAACCAGGACTAAACCAGGACTAAACTAGGACTAAAACAGGACTAAACCAGGACTAAAACAGGACTAAACTAGGACTAAAACAGGACTTAAACAGGACTAAACCAGGACTAAACCAGGACTAAACTAGGACTAAAACAGGATTAAAACAGGACTAAAACAGGACTAAACTAGGACTAAACTAGGACTAAAACAGGACTAAACCAGGACTAAACTAGGACTAAACCAGGACTAAAACAGGACTAAACCAGGACTAAAACAGAACTAAACCAGGACTAAAACAGGACTAAAACAGGACTAAACTAGGACTAAACTAGGACTAAACCAGGACTAAAACAGGACTAAACCAGGACTAAATCAGGACTCTGGTCCTGGTCTCAGTTCTGATCACCCGACGCACGTCTGGGCCGTCTCAACACTCAGTCCTGGTGGTTCAGTCCTGTTTTAATCTTGGTTCAGTCCTGGTTCAGTCCTGGTTCAGTCCTGTTTTAGTCCTGGTGTAGTTCTGGTTCAGTCCTGGTTGAGTCCTTGTCTAGTCTGTATGCGGTGCAAAAGTCCGACATCACACTGTTATCCTTTTTTTCCATTATTCATTTAAACACAAAATCATTATCTTTTTTTTTTTTTTTTTTTTTTTTTAATTTTGGTTCTGGAGACAAATAATGCCTTCATAATAATTAAAATTTCAATAACTGAAATATCGTGATATCGTATTGTCAAATATCACAATAATATCGTGGACCATCACAATATACTGTATTACAAGTGTCTTTGCTTAAATTCATTGTTTTGGTGCAGTCATAGCTAAAAAAAACCCTGAGTGAACTACATATTCCATGATCCTTTGCTCATTGCAGTGCAGACTATTTGAAAAATAATACAAATAATAATCAGAATCATCATTTTAAAGAATGTTTAAAACTTAATTTAAACATACTTAAGAACAAATGTCTTTTCAAGGCATTTTAAAAGGAAAATTTTGTTAGCATCTACAAAATACCGCAAAAAATATTGTACCGTGAGATGTATATCGTGAAAATTCCTTTTCGAGAGATTTGAATATTGTTACATCCCTAATAATTAGGCATTAATGAAGTGACTTATTCAATCCTCTACAGCTCAAATCTGATTTTATTAATACAAAAACAACAAGATCTGCCACTCTGACAAAGAAAAAGTACACATGATAACAACTGAGCTTCAGAATATTGTTTCATATCAAACCATAAGTCGATACAGTGATTATAATGACAGGCGTAGTCACAGTAGAAATATTTTAAAAGTACTTCAAACTTGTGCAGTGCAGAGAACTGTGTAGAACTGCTGATAATTTTAATCCTTTACCTTTGTTAATAAATCTAACCATATCAGAGGTTTGAAAACGCGCCTAAAGAAATTACTGAGACTATTTTAAGTAACGGACCCTAGGAAGACTAGTGGCCATGGTAACAACTAATGAGCGTCTGTACTGGGGCTGGGTTTCAGAAGACACCACAACATACACATGTAGGACAATATTGTGTAATACAGACGGGGGCAGGTAAAATGTATATTGCTAAAATTCAGTTTTGTTGTAATACAGTGAGCTCTTGAGTCTAGTCACTAATAGAAATGATCAAATCCAAATTTTGTGACTTTATCTTTTGGATATTTCATGGCAAAGTACAATGTTATTAATAGACAAATCTCCTTGCCACATCTGGAAGTATGACATCATCACAATCTGAAAACCACCAATACACAAAGGAGCAGGAAGTACAGGCCGAATGTGAATCAGCACATGTGGGCCCTTAATATTTATGTTATAATTTAATATTGTATTATATAAGGATGTAACAATAACCAAAATATTCAAGTTCAAGTTAAATTCCTTTATTGTCATTGTCATATAAAATAACAAAGAAATTACGTTAGAGTGTCATACAGACAGCATAGTATTTTAAAAGTGCATAACAATGTACAGCACCCTCATATGACAACCACCATGTAAACATTACATCCACTATGTGAATATTAGAATAATTAGAATACAAAACTACTAATATCAGTGCAGCAGCAAAGGGACATATCAACAAATCACACCAAAAACAGCCAAAAGAACTGGGACTTCAGTTCAGTTATATTTAAATAAATATTGTGATATTGCATCATCAAAAGTCTCACAATAATATCGTGGTCTGTCACAATATATCAAATCACAAGTTCCTTTGCTTAAATTCAGGTTTATAGTAGCAGCAGCAGCTTATGAACATTGAAAACTACATTTCCCATGATTCATTTCAGTGCAAACAACATGAAGAAATATGATTTTGACTTGAATTCTTGGGATTATGATGGAAATAATTCACACCAAAATCTTGTCAGGGTATTTTAAAAGCAAAAATTGACCTATCTATAATTCTATCTGCCTCTTCATAATATCGCAGTAAATATCGTACCGTGAGATGCATATTGTGATAATATTGTACCGAGAGTCTATCGTTACATCTCTAGTATTATATCATATTATATTTTAAGTTACCCCTGACTTTATGTGTTCTAGTGCTTAGCAGGTGAATAAAAAGGATTTTTCAGGTGCAGGTTCTTAGATATTCCTGTGTCAGTGTTTTGATAAATGATCTTGTGTGGGAGGTAGAAGTAACTTCATTTCCCCGCCTCTTCTGTAGTATTAATCAATAAGAAAGAATGTGATGGACACTTTGGGCGATGTGAACTATTTTAGGCATGTTTGACTTAAGCAATATTCCACTTCAGCTTTTGGAGGAAAAATGCAGGTCTGTCACAATAACATTTTGAAGTGTGATGTAAAATATAGACGATAAACTGAAACAAATTTATCTCAGTCACTGATGCCAAAACCAAAGAGCAGATTTAAATCACAAAGCCTGTTCTATATTTACAGCTGTAATAAATAAACAGCAGAAAGATTTAGTTTGTTTATGTAATGAGTCACATAAGTTATTAATTGAATCTTTTTTGGATCAAATCTGATTATACCACCAAAAAATAAACACACATTTCTTAGTAGTGCAAAGAAAATGTAAACGTGATAAATACTGACACTAGGGATGGGCGTGATTAATCAATTAATCGATAATTGATCATTAAGAATTTCATCGATTACGTTAATTTTAATCGACAAACCGAATGTAGGTTGCTGTGTGTAGCGTGACCAAACAGGTCTGTACATGTGTCTCTGCACTTAGAAGGAGCGAGACACAAACATTCGGTCAATCTGCAGCGTACCGAAGCACAAATGTGTATTTAACGATGACTTGTACAAGAAATTCCACACTTTCAGTTGTGTTCGGGACAAGTGTGAGTCCATGTGCACAGTGAACAAAGCAGGAACATATGTTTCGGTGTCCAGTGGGAAAAAGCTTTACCTGGTGAGAGTCGCGCAATATCGATGACGAGTCCCCACCTCCCTCCCCCCGTACGATGGTTTTGACAAACGCAAATCTGGTCACACTAACCTGTATTCACCTGAATCATGTCTTTTAATCCAACAGAAATTGACCGCATCAGCAACACAAGAGCTGTAGTTTTATCTTCGCTTAGTTTATGCAAATTAGCGATGGGGTTTTAAGTTTCGTTTCTGTGAGAGTTGTGCAAAACTGAATTAAACACATTATAATCTAAAACGGATTGATGTGGCTCTAGAGTCGTTACGGTTTATATGTCGTAAAGTTTAATTTATTTATGCAGATTAGTAGTGCAGATAGTAATAATAATGATGATCATTTTAATATAAAAACATTAATGATTAATCGATAATCGATCGTTAATTCTTCCGACGATCGATTAAGAAAATTTCATCGAATGCCCATCCCTAATTGACACCAAAACTATTGTATTCCAGCTTTCATATACTGAACAGTAAGTAGATGTAGTAGTTCTGGTGGCAGGAATAGTCAACTGTACTCTTTGTTCTTATTGGAAACAGGACCACTATGACTGGGGTCTCAGAGCGATCAAGTCCGTCCTGGTGGTGGCTGGTTCTCTGAAGAGAGGAGACCCACAGCGGGCAGAGGACCAGGTGCTCATGAGAGCCCTCCGAGACTTCAACATCCCCAAGATCGTGACGGATGACATGCCCGTGTTCATGGGCCTCATCGGAGACCTGTTCCCAGCTCTGGACGTGCCCCGCAAGAGGGACATGGACTTTGAGAAACACGTGAGACAGTCCATTCTGGATCTGAAGCTACAGGCTGAAGACAACTTTGTCCTCAAGGTAAGGCAGTGTTTCCTTCTGTTACCCATTGTCCCTTTTGCTGCAGTCCCCTGTGAAGGACAAGGACTCCGGATTGGTAGAAGATGTTCTCTCTTGCACACAGTATTTCTGCTGTCCTTCCAGCCCAGCCTGTTGTTCAGTGGACTCCTGGGTAGATGTAGCTGTCTACAACTGGGCTCCTCTTCCTCCTGAAGTGAATTGTTTTTCACTAAAACAAATTATTTCATTTCAAAACATATGCTGTATTTCCAAGCTCTTAAATTCAACAGTCAACAAGTAAAATTCACAGTGAAACAAAGAAAAAAAAAAGATCCAAAATGCCAAGCGTACACTGTGCGATATTTTCGGTCATGTCACTCAGCCCCAGCTTAAACTGTATGACCAAATCGCAGGGTTTAAAGTTCACAGCTCACGAATCATGTTCTCACACTGAACCAACCAATGCTCGGATGCGACCTGCTTGCGCACATTATACGTTCACATAATGACTGGAGTTGTTGTTCCAGAAGTAGAAAACCACGAAGAAATAACAAAACAAAACACAGAATTAGAAAACCAAAGATGTGTGGAGACACAATGCTGATACAGGCAAAAAACAGATGCTCCCAAAAAGAAGAGGCTACGAATCTAGTCAAAGAAATGGCTGGGCAGGCGTGGGCAGACGTGGGCAGGCGTGGGCAGACGTGGGCAGACGTGGGCAGTCGTGGGCAGTACAGGTTGTCAGTTCTTCAGATGGAACTGGTGGAAAGTAGCATTAAGTTTTTTACCAAACTTCTGTTCTGTGTTGCTCGATTAGCTCCTGTGTCCAAAACAGTCACCGGCGCCACCGTCCTCCACAACCTCATATCCTGCTTCCACTTCTGTATCCGCACATGCTCAGTCTGACAGATTCTGGAAAATCGGCTCGTGGAACGACTTCAACAAAGTGAAACCCTCACGAGAGGCGACTGGATTTCAAACAAGTTTGATTTTCTTGCAACCTACGAATGCCGATCGGGAGCTGGTCGTGAGGTATAAATCAGTTTTCTTTACCCCATGTTTACGACACACGATGAAGCCAGAACTCTGTCCGATCCCCAAAACAGTCGCATGAGTGAAAAATCGTCGTAAAAAGGGTCAAAAATCGCATAGTGTACGCCCGACTTTATTGGACTATCTCTTTTGTGTGTGGGTAACACTGAAGGAGTTGAGGAGATGAAGTTTCGATTGGGTAATTCTGAATTTAGATCATTGAATTTGAGGGAAGAGAAAAACACATAAAACTGTAAAATGCTGCAACTGGCTTTCCGAATAAAAATGATTCAGACATGTTTTTATGGGTTAACATTTTCAAAGTGATGAATTCAACAGCATTTAAATGGAAAAATCTAATGAAACAATCTCGTAGTCTGAGTCCCAGTGTTATCTCCCGGAGTTCAGATGGGCGTGATTGATGGGCAGATTAACCAAGCAGAGAAATGCAGTCTGCTCGTATGAAAAGAAACACTTCACAAACTGACGAGTGTTGGGTGAGACGAGTTTGATTTTGTTCGAAATGAGAGGTGACTAATGAGCTCGTCTCTTTCCCATGTGTCACTGAAATAAACAAACCTGATTGGACAGCCCTGAGTCTGGCCTGAGAAACACCAGAGGAGTGAATCCAGACAGAACCAGTCTGAACCAGGCTAAGACATTTTACCCACTAGGGGTGATTTATCATTGACATCAAGGGAAATTAAACTTACATATTTATATTGTTGTCCCAAGTATTGTCATTTCACTCTTTTAAAAGTCTACTCAAGTGTGTCTAGTGCAGGGGTGCTCAATACGTTGATCGCGATCTACCAGTCGATCGCCAAGGTCGTGTGGGTAGATCGCCGTGTCTCGTCTCTCACTCGCGTTTGGACTCGGTCTTGTCTCTCAACAAGTGTGATCATATTTCATTACGGCTGCTGCTGTTGGCAATAAACTTGTAGCGGGGTGCAGGAGCGTGTGGGGCGTCTCTCTGAGGTCTGTGCGCTCATTTGAAACCTGCGGAGACTCTAAGGCACATCACAAACACACACGCTCCCTATGCACGGCTCGTCTGCAACAGCGTGTGCCCTCGTGTACCAGCGTGCATCACAGGGCAGATTAAACTTCCTAAACATCCTACCTGTCCATCTTCCTCACGTCAGCACGCCGCCCCTCGCCTTTTCATGCTCTCGCTCCTTCCTGCGTACAGCGAACACAAGCCTCTCCCACAGTGCGGCTGATTAGAAGAGCAAGACCAAACGTGAAGCAAAAATCAGTCTAAATTTGTGTTACAGTATTGGCACAAAGCAGGTCTACAGCATAGAGCGGATCTACAGAACAGACCTACTGCACATTTGGCTGAAGTTTGACGAACAAAAGTGCACAAATGCATCTGTGTTTGTCACGATGTGTGTTTGGTTTGGTAAATGTGCAGAGGCTGGTAAATATCACTGCAAAACCAGAAAAGAATGAAACTCCAGTTTGGAACTTTAAAAAACAGGTTTAAAAATCTTCCTTCACTTTTTTCACAGTTTTGTGTAAAGTGCCAGAGGAAGTTCTCTTAAAGAAGGGGTTCTCAAACTGTGGGTGAGGGTCCAAAAAAGGGGCACAGAGTGTTTCAGTGCAGTTTGCTTGGCTTTGTATTAGGTAGATCATTTTGACTTGGTCATTTTGTAAGTAGCTCACATGCTGAAAAAGTGTGAACACCCCTGGTTTAGTGTCATGACTAAACAGTGACAGTAGCTCAGTTGGTCCTCTGGTTGGCTGCTGTGTTTCCATCTCACACAGATGATTGCTGTCATTGTGTCCATGGGCAACACACTTAACCCACCTCGCCCCCAGTGTCCGTGTACACTGGTGTGTGAGTGTGTGTGCGTGTGTGTGAATGTGTGAGTGGTTTGTTGTTGTAAAGAGCTTTGAGCCTTGAAGGTGGAAAAGCACTGCATAAAAATGTGACTATTTACCATAAATATGTTGACCATAAGTTTACTGATGTTGGTGCTGTGTTCAATGCCACAGGCCCCTTCTCCTCTCTCCTCTCTCCTCTCTCCTCTCTCCTCTCACACACGGAGGTATAATAAGATCTTATTATAGATCCATGTTTGTGCAGCTCTGTGTGACTGCTGTGAGGAAGCTGGCCATTCTTCAGCTTCAGCAGGATGTGTATGTGAGACACTCTCAGCCAATCAGAGCAGAGTGAGTGTGTATGGGAGAGACTGATTGGCTGCTCTCATCTAAACTTTTGACTGACAGCAGAAGCAGCTCCAGTGCTGATTGGCTGTCTGACAGAAGTGCTTGTTTTGTGTTTTGTATTTTACACAGTTTCTCTTGTTTGACTCCTGCTCCTGTTAACACAAACTCCACACATCAGCTCTTTTCGTCAAACTGAAACAGTGTAATTTCATGTTTGTGATGTATGTTTAGATGAATGAAAGGGGCATGAACGAGGTGTGGTCTGATCAGTTTGCTCATTTGCCCATAGTAACACGTTGTACATTTGTGATGGTTGCCTGACTCTGACAGACAGACAGGTCTGCAGCTTCTCTCACTCTCTCTCTCTTAATCTTGGCTTCAGGTTTTGTCCCACGAGACCTGGTTAAGTTCTGATTTAGTACCAGTTTATGCCATGTTTAGTGCAAAGTACTCATTAGGTCTGGTTCAATAGTTTTTCATGATTAATTCTGACAACTAATTAAAGTAAAAGAAAGAAAATATATCATGGGCTTTCTTCTTTGAAAGAGCACCAGCTGCGCTGTTCCCCACATCGCCTTTTTGAAACGAAAACAGCAGAATACAAAACAGTGTTACAAGAACATAATTATTTATTTAGCCCAACTCAGGATCTCTTCGTGTGTATCTGAACAAGCCTGTCATTTTCAATGGGAAAAATTCAGAAAAGAGTTAACTTCCAAAAGTCGGATTCCAACTCCAAACTCATTTCAGTCCTCTTTGCTGTCAATAACACAAACCCAATTTCCCACATCCCCCGTACACTTCCCCTTCTCATGTGCAGCTGTTTATCAGATTTATGTTGTGATTACAGGAATCTCACAGTCTCTGAAGAGCGCGTGTGGGCTGCGCAGCCAAACACTATCACAAGTTGTCTGCAGAGTCCCCAAATGGGCTTTCTTCTCCAACAATTTCTACTGATATTACAGCTGTAGTGCTTTCATTTAGATTTATCGGACTTCTCTACAAAAGCTATTTACTTCACATCATAATGCTCCAGGAGGAAGAGGGCATTAGTGTCAGAGGCGTCCACCGGATCGGGATGAATTGGGCAAATATAGCAGTGAGGCGGTCCTTAGCGCGGGGAAGGTGTTGACCCGATTCTGCTCATCTTATTAGCCGGGGCCCCACACACATGCACACACTGTACGGGGCCCCGTGTCGGAGACGAATGAGCGCTCGGACCAGGGGAAATAAGTGCGATCTGCCTTAGGTCAAATACACACAGCGAGCACATAATAACAGTGTACGAGGCAGACCAGAGCTGCTGCACGCCACTTTAGAGCACAAGAGCACACGCTGCAGGTGAAACGCCGTGTTTCACACCAAATCATGACATTCTATGGAACAATCATGTTTAATACACATGGGGGAAGCTCAAATGATCATTACATTGTAGTCTGTTGTTGTAATCCAGTGAGTTCCTGGGTCTAGTCACTAATAGAAGTGATCAAGTTCAACAGTCGTGAATTTACTTTTTATATATTTGTCATGAAAGTACAATGTAATCACGCTGGGGGTGTTCTACATGTATGTGTATTGGTGGAATGTGTAGAAGTTACTGTTGTTACCATTAAAAGTTACAACTATTGGGAAAACTGGATCCTGTCCTCCATCTGAGAGTAAGACATCATTACATTCTAGAATCTGAAAACTACCAATAGGAAAAAAGTTGAAAGTTCTACTGTAGTTTAATCACGTAAATGAAGGAAAAAGAGACATATTTTATTGATCCTGAGGGAAAGTCAAGTTTTGCTGCAGCGACATTTCCAATGCAT